TTAAATTGTATCACCAGAGGATCTAAGCAAAACAGAAAAGGCCTGCCTGGCATAGAAGAAAAACAAACGAAAAAAGAAATTCACTTCATACAGTAACACCAGATGCCCAAGGAAGAACAAAAGGGCCAAGGAAGTTACAAAAACTATAAGCAGGGAAAACTTAACCAATTCCATGTGTACAGTAGGTCACCATCTGGAGATCTGTATTAATCTGGTAACCTCACTATTCTGTCTTCTTGGATGCTGCACAGCAGCACTACCAGAAGTTATTTTTGGAAATAAGGTGGGGGAGGGAAGACGGTTAGGAAAGCTACAAGATATCCAAGAAGAAAAACACATGAGAACATTAAGCAGAACACACTAGCAAGAAATGCCTTCCCCCCCTTCCCCCCCAGCCCTGTTCAGCATTTATTACTGCAAGGCATCCATTAGTACAAGTTTATAGGCTTCAAGAGCAGATCTATGTTCTGGAAGTGGCAAAAAAGAACGTCAGGATCCTCCTTTCAGTGGGCACTTTACTAAACAGGGAGGGCTGTACCAATACTGCTAAGCCTGCTGGGAGGAGCGCATGTTGCTACGTTCATCCACATGACATATCAGTGCAGAAGTACAAGAAAGTTTAGAATAAAAAGTGGGAAGTGCGTATGTTTCATGACCTTCGAACATTTCCTCTAGTGCTCTCACACTCAACAAACAGAGCAAGAGAGTACATGAATTCTCACCAACACCACTACTAGATCTTAAGTAAAATGCAAACAACTTAAATGAATCCAACATTTTCAGAGAAGCCAGGAAACCTGTATACACTATAGTATACCTACTAAAATATCCAGAAGTTCTAATTCTGTAGGAGTGTACATGTCTTTTGAAGCAATACAACATATGTGCATGCATTTACACTTACATCTGATTTTTAGCCGCTTGTCTCTGAGCTTTCCGTTCTTTCCTTTTTTGATCTGGTGGCTTAGCAAAAACAATTTCAATGTTTTCTCCCTCTAAATCTTTGCCATTCATTTCTTCCATTGCCTGAAGGAATTAACCAGACTTTAAATATATTTCTAAGCATATCTGAAGTTATTATTTTATCTATCTTTTAGAGCATGCATTTTAAATTTTTTTTATCCAGAGCTAAAATAACAATATAAAGCTAAAGTAACTTTTAAAGTAATAAGACAGCATAGTATCATGGCTTCCAGAGTTATGCATTCCCTCTTGACTTGGCTCTCAAACCCAGGACTGCATGTATCAGTTTAGAAATCCTCCACTCAGAACTGTAAACAGGCTTCAATCTTTGCAAGCTGTTTCAATTAATGAAGTGATGGAACTGTCCTCCAGTACAGATTTTGCAGTAAGGGATAAATTCCTAATGTCAGCACACATGCAAACACTACTAAAGCTAGAGATCAGTGTGTGTGTTTTTATTCCTTCATTTTACTTGTAATAAATGTAACTTTCTTTTTAAACCAGAAGCCAAAAATTAGAATTTAACAGTCTCATTCTGACCACAAAAAAGCCCAAAACAAACCACCACCACAAAAAAAACCAAAAAAAAAACCCCCCACCAACAAAAATCCACCAACACACACACATATGTACAATTCCCACAGATAATAGTGATTGCTGCAAGTTAAACTCAAGCAGGGGAATCCTGAAGATTCTACCACTTTTAGGGACTCTACATAGATAAGCGCCTTGATAGGATACATATCCTATGAAAAGACCCTTTCCATCATCTCCCAAAGCATCTGCTTTAAGGCATCTGGATGAGTAAGAAAAACTGAATCACCTTGTATCCTGCATCCTCCCACGGAACATAAATATAGATACACTATAGGCAGGAGAGGAATTAAAACTTTCCCTTCCTAACGACAGATGAGAGGAGAAAAAACACCAAGACCACGCTAGCAAAATCCAGGAATGACAATTACTCAATTGTCTAGTACCTCTCATCAAAAAGAAAAAGGTGCTTATTCCACACCATAAAAAGGAAGTCATTCCATCCCTCGAAAATAAAAAGATTACCTAAGCTTTTATCACCTGGCCTAGAGAAACTGCTTTAGATTCTAAAATAATTTGGTGAGAAGAGTCATTCAACTTCTGGCACTTCAGTTTCAAATGATAACACACGTGATTATCTTAGATACTCATCAGCAGAATCACTTAGGATGCATCTAAAATCCACTTTTCAAGCTAGCAACCGTGTCTTCCCAGGAGACACCCAGAGAGGGCAAAGTTATCAGTGACAATGTGTTACCATTTCGCCAGACAGAGCTTTTTCTCAAGTTAAAAGTACACAGCTTCTAAACGTTTAGTCACTACTTACACACACAGAGTTACAGTCCTTTTCACTTACCTTTACAGCACCATCCCGCTCATCAAAATGAATGAAAGCATAGTCTTTTAGCTTCTTCACTCGCTCTAGCTTTCCAAATTGACTGAAGGCCTTTTCTAGTATCTCTTCTGTTACAGTATTGGCAAGATTGCGCACAAACAAAACTTTTACCTAAAAAAAAAAAAAAAAAAAAAAAGACTTAAGAAGTATGATCTAAATTCCAAAACCTGAAGTTTTGCAAGTCATTACTATTGGCAGGACTGAAAACAACATGACATACAGCTTTTTATATACATATACATGAATACATATATTTATTTATTCATACAACATGAGTTAGCTCCAAAAGTACCTAATAGAAATATTAAATCTGTTTTCAAACATGATTATGTAAGTATTAGTATCCTCAAAGTCAATCCAATTTGTGTTAATGTTTAAAAGAATCCTAGCAGCAGTAATTTTCAACTCAAAACACTTTCAAACTTGAAAGAAGGCAACCAGGATTGATTACACACAAAATAATTAACTTATCAAAACATTTCATTGTTTAGACAGGTTTTTGCAGAACAGTCATCACTATAATATCTAGGTCAGAGGTGACAGGCCCGCAGCTCTCAAGCTGCTTAACTTGTTGCTCCCATGCTATAGCTACACCAAATACCTAGCATCAGGACTGTGCTTGCCTGAGGAGTGTTCAGTGACCTGAATCCACAGCTAGGAGAGAGAACGCAGACAGAAGGGGATACTAAGGCTGACACTGCCAAGTCACCCCTGGACTTTCTTACAAGTCAAACTGTGTCCTTCCCTTGAGGAGCAGCCACCTCCAAGCAACTCAAAGTCTATTCCCTCCCCCAGCTCTCTAAAGCATACAATATGGCTCTTCAGCTACACAAAGACCACTACTCAGTTTACAAGATCAGAGAGGTTGATTATCTTTCAGCTATTGAGATATGCCCTGTTAACTGCCCAACAGTGACTAAATCATCAACATGTAGTTTCATCAATCACCAACTGCTTACAAAAGAAAACACAGAGCAGGCTGACAAAGGCTTAAACTAGACTCTTATTTAATACAACAAACAACGTACACTGGCCACCAGGAACCACGTAGGTTAGTGGCCCGTTAGCATTCAAAGACTTGTCCTTGTGTCCACACTGAGGTTACACTACATGACTGTATTTTAGCACATTTGCATGATGTCATCCGTGAGTTCTCACATTGTACAAGCCTCTGACTTGTCAGGGAAAGTCCCTTCCATACGCTGCCACCGTGCCCTGACAGTCTACTCGCCTCCTACTGCCAAAGAATTCTCAGTCTTGCCTTCCTACGATGCAGTTGCACATCAGCTGCAAAGCCCTGCAACTTCTGTTCGCATCCCCTCCGCTATCAGTGGTTTCAAACTAGCTGATGACAAAAAGTAAAGTCAACACTGTACATGGCAGCACTGACCTCCTGCTCCTAACCCTGAAAGTCAACACAAGTAACACAGGGTGTGAAGGAACCAAAGAAAGCATGCTTTGATTTTTGAAGCAGAGCTATAACCTCTACTCCCACCACATACAGGAACTCAATAGACCCTTACACCTTTTTTGTAAGAATTACTACGTAATGAAGTTACAAACAAACAGGACAGACTTCCATAGATCTTTGTCTGACTCGCTAGCCAAACCAGGATGGGATGCAGAGCTTGGAAGAAGGGATACTACAGATCTTAAATCTGACCCAGTGCATCAACGCTTATCTTTGGCATAGTTAACTCATGCTCATTATCAGGAGATGATGAAAGTCATAGCCCGCTCCATCAGGAAGGCTGCTTCCTATCCCGTGCTAAGCTTCTCCTACCTGCCTTGATGGCAAAAGCAACCTTTATTTCCTGTAACCCGTATGTAATAACCATTTTTAGTAAACTGTCCTAATTGATACCTTAACCTTATTTCACGAAAATTAATTACAGGAAGTTTTGTGATGTAATCAATGGTTTTAAAACCCAGTAACTTTCACACAAGTTTTCCTTATTCTTGCACTCTAGATAAGGATGAAAACTAGAATCTCATGTGGAACCCTAAGTAGCTTTCACTGATAAATTCACAATGACTGTTAGACATGATTAAAAACCTCAAAAATCATCACTTTTTTGTTACAAGGTGCACTGACTTACACAACATTTTTTAAAGTGAAAAACAACTAATTTATATGTTTTCCAATACAGACAAATCCATTAATCTCTAACAGCTTAATTTTTTTAACACCTCTGGTATGTTACAACTTAAAAGCATAGCTGAACCAGTCAAAGAAGATGTCAAAGCTAGGACGCAGGTTAGAGCATAGGTTAAGAGAAGATGAACCCATTTTTACTTCACTTAAGCTCTCTGAAGAGGGAAGGAAGAAAAAGAAAAAAAAGTCCTCTTCATTAAGGCTCATAGATTCTAACAGCAAGGGTCCATAAATACATACCTAACAAGCACTATGCTCAGCAGCAGCATTTTGTCCTAAAGGCAGAACCCACTTTTAAATCTGCTTAACATCAGACTAAACCCAAAAGTTCTGGGATCTGCTCCTTCAGACTTTATTACCACATTCTCCAAGGGTTACTAGCTCTGTCTCCTGTCCTGTAATCTACCAAGCAGCCACAAGCTTAAGTCTTTATTCAGCTGCTTAATGTGCCGCTCCAGAATGTCCTCTGCAGCCAGCCTCAGACACTACAGAAATTAAGTAAAACATTAAGAAATTTATCTGCGCTACAGATATAAGAGGCACCAAAATAATACTTAGGAGAAGTTATGCTATCAACGCAGCTATTGGAAGTTGGAAAAAACTTCACTTTGTACCAGAAATCAATTACTTAACCAATTATACTCTGATCTGTCAGTACAAGCACTCATCTCCTGTAGCACCTATCAGAATCCAGCTTTCTACCTCATCACGCTCAAGGTACTTCATATTTAAGGTATCAGCCCATTTAAATTTTAAGTATGCACGCATACAGTACTCTCCACAACATTTAAGCAAAAGCCTGGAGGAGAAAGGAAAAAAGGTTCGAGTAAACATTTCAGAAGTTTAAACTATTAGGTGTCCATATATTGATGAAATGACATGCTGCTTCTGTGAGGTATTTAGGAACACCTTGTGGCTACAAAGGCGAATTTGTCTTCCCGGTGTTTGCTCTTACAGATTTGCTTTTCTAGCAGTCTTGACAAGAAAACCGCAGATCAGATGGTTACTCTGATAAAAGCAACCTCCTACTCCGTGTTTCCTCCAGAGCCTTCTACTATGGGAATGTGTAACATGACAAGGGTCAATAGCTCTCCCTTCGCTCCCGACTGACAGTACTCAGAAGCAATGACAGCCAACCCGCAGATCACATCTGGGACATTACTGACTGCAGCAACAGCTCAGCTGCTCTTTCTCTTAGGAGAAGGACTGCAGTAAACAACAGAAAGTAAACCTAATGCTTCCAGAAGTAGCAGATGTGGTCAGAGTTTCTCCAAATGTGCAGTAAGTGGGCAAGAAAGACTAGAGATGAGACCTTCCTTGTTGCAACAATAAACTAAGGGACGCAGCCAGCAAGAAAGGTCAGACACCAATGCTTGTCTTAACTTCTGCCTTCAGGCACAAGCTGTATGTTCTCTACTTTTTCAGTATTCTCATTCACACAGTCTCATTTTTCCATACGTCCTCAACCCAAGCTCCATGCCCTATCTTCAGCATATGGCAGTAGAAGTACACGTTTCTTTTCTGCGCATTTTCCAAAATTAAGTTTCTTCCCTTTTAATGTCCTATTTCAAATACAAAACAACACAAGGCATTAACACATTCAAAAAAAATGTATATTAAATGGGGCAAACCACTATCAAGTGGTTTAATTTCTTTAGCCTTTCGTTCCCCACATCTGTAAACTCACTTAGGAAAGACACCTGATTATGTCCCCTATCACTTCCTGCTCATCTATTCAGTCATGTCAGCATAAGTTCCTGCTCATTTATTTTAACAGTTTGCTGGATTAGGTCTCTTCTCTTTTGAGCCAAGAGCCTGAACAGATAAATAGGCTGCCATATTTAGGAAGTGCCACCTTCGACAAATTTTACCTGCCAGCCTCTTCCCCGCTGCCGACAGTCTATGATGCCAGGCAAGAAAAATAAAGTCTGCAGACAGGCCAGTCAAAAAGCTTCTGTAATACCAGTATTACAAAAGCAGCTTTTTCCCTAAAATAAGCCCCCACCCCAACCCTTTTCCCTTATGGCTCACCAAAGAGGAGATCCCAGCCAAGCTATCTTACTAGGTCCATCAAAGTAGGACTCCAGCAAGTGACGTGTCTCAGATGAGAGTAAAAGCACAGACGAAAAGCAAGCAAAGAGAAAGAGATAAGGATATGGGCTAGCTAGTTTTCATTAAACAACTCAGCTATACAACATAACTGAAAAAAGACAGGGTTGGGCGTTATCTGATGGAAAAAAAAAAATCAGGTAATTAGTTTCTAGCAAAATATCACGCACACATATAGAACAACTGGTACAGCATACATCAAAATGTTAACAGTCAAGACTTCAGTTTCACTGAAATACTTTAAATCCAAAATATTACTAGTCTAAGTATTTTAAGAAATTAACCCCACCCCCCAAATTAAGAATAAAGATACGGCGTTCCAAATACAAAGTAATTGCCTAACTTCTCAGAAGTAACTGCTAAAGGCAACTTTGAAAATACATTTGCGCATCTTACTGACATGTTCAAATTCTGAAGCGATAAATAAAGCCAAGTTAAATCGAATTAAGGCTTGTTCTGCGATAATATCTAGATTTCTGTCCCTCCAAATATGCTACAAAACCATTTTAACTTCTGGAGTCACCACCACTGCTTCCAGGTGAATAAATAAGTACATCACCCTGTGTGCCATTTTGGAAAGAATTATGTTCAACATTCAGCCTTGGGAGCACAAAAGTCACATCAGTCAATACAGTTTTTAAATTCACATCTATTCTAGAGTGCATTCATATTTTTATCATCTCACCTACAACACCTCTGTCAAGAAGGCCGAAAGATGCTATTTAAACTTAGGCTAATGTCAGGAAGTACTTACTTTGGAACAAGGCACTTTAAATGTACTATGGTTCCCTTATAGCTTTATTACCTTTGCCATGACTTCAGGATCTGGGTCTTCTATAGGGTCAGCCCATTCAACTGTAACAACATTTCCCCAGACTTTCACTTTGCCGCTCATTAACCTACGCCTGGCCTGAGCGGCGGTTTTGTGATCTTCATATTCAAGGAAACAGAAACCCCGGTTCTTCTTCTTGTCATCAGGCTGATGATACAATATGACATCTGTAAGACCCTCTGAAATTAAGCAAAGTATTTATTTGTTATGGCTTCCATTCATGAATTTATATTCTAAAGTACGGATTATCTTTCTAGTAAGTATGCATCTAACAAGTGGTTCCAAAAAGACATGAACACACTAGACTTTGGAGACCATGTACATAATCAGATTTCCCTACCTTCTAGGCCAACATTTTCAAAGAGAGACATTAGACTATCACAATTCATGTTCCATTTTTATTAAGTGAAAAAAAGCTTATTAGCTACGGAAGAGTACCTTTCCTCTAACTGAATGGAGAAGAGATAAGGGCAGCCAAAAGTTGTGCTTTGTCAGTTCTCCTCAAACCCTTAAGTCACACCACTTATCAGCATGTGTTTTTTCCATGGATGTCTAAACAACAAGAGATCAAACTTGCATGACTTTAAGACATCTAAAAAGTTTCAGTGTTGCTCCAAGGAACCTGAAGTATGTCACTCAGTAACAGAGAAATCCATCAAACATTACCTTTGCCAGTTCATATGCCGCTAACATAAAGAGATCCTTATCAAATCACTAAGAATTCTGAAGCACAGAACTAGTTATGTTCTCCAACTTGCTTCAGTTTTGTCTTGGAAAGTTTTAAAACATCCGTTTGTATTGAAATAATTAAACCATCTATTCCTTTGAATGGTTTTTTAAAACATTACACACATTCTCTAGGTAAAACTTGGAACCACACATCTAATCTAATCACAAATATTTCAGCCCTCAGCAAAAGTTTAAAAAAAAAAAACAAAAAAAACCAAAACACACACCTAAAATTCGGGACAAATGCTGAGTGGTCTTTGTTTGGATTAATCATCATTCAACCATAAGCCAAGAGTTCATCACTCATCATGTTTGACATCTCTCCAGCTCTACAAAACATAGTTACTGACTTACCTGTTACCTTGCTAAATTCTTCAACAATTTGCTCCTTGGTTTTACTCTTAGGAATAGAGCCAACAAAAAGCCTATTATTGGCAACAGAGATGCACACACCAATGTGTTTTCCAGAACGAATTTCATGGTTATTGTACTGAAAGAAAAGTAATTGGACAATCATCAGTTACAGATAATTTTTAGTCCCTTCCAACAGCAGCATACCAAATATTTTACTTTTGCAAACACAGCATTTAGTAATATATTAAACTCTTTGGAGCTGAACACATTCTTATGATGCATATTCAACTGTTCTGAAGTATACCCATGTTCTCTAAGGTATCTCCACAATTTCAGCCAACAATTATTCTTTCCTTCTTCTTCAAGCCTTTTTCTTAATACATGTTTCTTTGGAGACTTTCCACGTAGAACCATGAAAGGTAAATCTTATATCCAAGTCATGAAGGTCAAGGCTTCTCCCTTCATAACAGTGCAGAAAAAAATGCAAATTCCTCAAGTACCTATGAATTCTTGAATTTTATGTAATACAAGACAGGAGTCAGATTCCCTTCTAAAATTCCATAGTTAACAAAAGAGAGTGAGCTGTAATCAGGTCTTCTCCAAAAAATGTGCAAGAGCAGTTGGCAAATACTTTCCAAAGCATATAGATTACACATGTAGAGACAGTAAGTGGCAAGAACAACCTTCTACTGACTCAAAATCCTAAGACTTCTGGTTCAAATTCTTCTCCCACAACAAACTGTTTAGAAGACACCCTGAACAAGTCAGCAGTTTTAAGGAAAAAAAAAAAAAAGCATTACTCCCAGTAGACATCTGTTGACAAAAAATGCCTTTCATTGAGATGCAGACACAGGCATGCATCATCCAAACAAGCAGCAGGGAGGTCAACTGGTGGTACATCAACCCCTTTCCAACTGGAAGCCCTGCAACAGACAGTTCTTTAGCTAGGAAAATGTATTTTGTGGTCAACATCTTATTGACAAGTAGCAGGACAGCTTTGTAAAATTTAATCTAGCTATTTGTTCTATGAGTTGTTTTGTGTTGGGTGGTAAACCTTACTGAACAAGACAGTTCTCCCACACCCTTTCTTGCTTTGTACACTAAAATCAGGGTAAAGACCTTTATGTATTTATCTTGTGCAAACAAAAACTACATAACTGAAAATTTTCAAAGCTAATTAACTGCACCAGAAGTGAGCTAAAAGGAGAACTGTACATGTGAAAAGGATCTGGAGTGGCATCTTCCCAACTAATTATGTCTCAAAGCATAGTAGGATACAGTAAAAGACTTCTATGCCCGTATCTGTTACCCATGTGGCAGAGGAATAGTTGACTTTAAAGTAGGAAACAGCTGCATAGGAAGACTGCACATATATTATTTTGATCACTAATAGACTTATACACATTAATGAAGGGACAGATTATAGTAGCTCAAAATACTTTAAAGAAACACTTTTAAAAAAAGCTGAGAGTTTATTAGTCTGGAAAAGACACAAATTGATTCTTGATTAACTGAAGTATACATTAGGAAGTTTTTTTTTTTTTTTTTTTTTTTTAAATTGAGAGGGTGGTCAAACACCGGAACAGGCTTCCTAGAGAAGCAGTCAATGCCCCGTGTTTAAAAGAGGCATTTGGACAACGCCTTTAATAGTAATGCTTTAACTTCTGGTCAGCCCTGAAGTGGTCAGGCAGTTGGACTAGATGATCGCTGTAGGTCCCTTCCAACTGAAATAATCTATTCTAGGCGGATAGTAGAAGATATTATCCAACTGTTCCTGTTAAAGTCTAAGATCAAAGTTTGGCTACCCATTTAATCCAAAAAGAGCCTCTCATACAAGTCATGGCAATGAAATAACAACTTAAAAAAAATTAAAATATTCTACCATATTGCAGTTCCACATTGACAGTAGTTTCTAGTAGTTTTTTTCCACACTACAATACATTAACTACTATTTTTCATTATATGTTTCTCTTAACACAGAGAAAACAGTCTTGAATTAGGTGCTCTTGAATATAAAGTTGGTGGGTTTTAGGTAGTTTGCAACACCATCTGTAAACTTAGATTAGACGTGAACAGGCCCAAATCATGATCTAAGTGAAGTGCCAAAACAGTCAGGCTACCAAATTAGCTCTGTCAGCACACTGCTTCCCCCTCCTGTCACCACTGAATCAGTGCCTGAAGTTAGTAGCAGAGATATTACTACCCTCTAGACACTATGATAGATTTTTTTTTTTTTGCTAAGTTCTGTAAGAACCTACTCACAAACAGGTCAAAGTATGCAGACGTTCTGTCTTGTCTTTTTATCCACTTTCACCAGCAATTTTAGTTTATTTCCAGCAGCAAATGGCAAGTTGTACTGCTATGCATAGCTGGCAAACTGCTTAAGGGGTGTATTTGCATAATTCACCTGTACCTGCACTTTGATCAAGCTTACACTTGCTCTAGTCGAAAATACAGCACATGCTACTATAGCTTTCAGTATGTTTTCCTACAAGCTTCACCTCACAAGTATTTATCCTGTACACGTCTACAGTAACGTTAATCACTCAGAAGGCTTTTGAAAAACTGAAATCTAACAACTTCTTATGAAACAGGAGGGAGAACTGGAACATGTGTGCAAAAGAACACAACTGGAGTTATAATTGTTGACTCAACCAATATCAAACAGAAGGTAAACACAAACAAGGGAAAAAAAATGCCTGGGGTTAAAAAAAAAATTAGACTTCTGACAGTCAGTGCTTGTGTGAACATTTGAGATGCCATTTCTACTTAAGGGTTAACCACACTGGATTAAGTACTGGACATAAAATTAACTACTGTTCATATCTGTAAGCCTTCTCAGTGTCAGGCCATGGCATCACTCCATTTTCATCTCAAGCACAGGTCCAAAGGTATTTCAAACAAATTTAGGCAATTCTCCCCTTTAAGTGGTTTAAAAATGCATATGCATATACAAAATCAAGGCTTCAACCTTTTAAATTGCAAGATTTCTTCTGGTTAACAAAGAGGGTAATTTAACATTAAGTTTATCAAAAAATTTTAGTTCAGTTTTACATTAAATTGCAATAAAGACTGTGGATGATACAACAGTTATGCAAATATGAATTATATGTAAAATAGGTTACACCAACTGCAAGAGCCTGAAGACAGGTCAGTTTATTCTCTGCTGCAGTTTGGGTATTGACAAAACCTCATAGCTGTCTCTTATTACTCAGAAGCCTACAGGCAATGCAGAGATTTCTATTCTCATTTTTGCTATACTTCAGAGTCCTGAATGGAAAAAAAAGAAAAAAAAGCGTCTGGGAAGAAGATGGGAAATAACAAAAGAAACCCTGTCCCAGGGAGTCCAGAAAGCTGGTAAGTTGTATACACATTAGAAGATTATAGGTAGTATCAAAAAGAACACCACCTGTTAGAACACTAGGATATTAAAACAGCTAGGACCAAGGGTTCAGCATTTCCCATGCATGTTCAACTAACACAAGTGACAGACCCATGATTTTCAGCCGAGCTCTACAGCCATGTTTTGCTAGTACCCCTACAAATCACTCCCAGACAACTTAGGAAACTTATAACATACCAAACTAGCCAGCCAACTATCATTGGAACCATTCAAAAGCTGACAAATGCCACAGGATCCAATTTAAAACTCACCCTGCCCTCAAAGAAGTTAGCATGAAGGCTGAAACACTGCCCCATCAATGACACCACTTTTCAACTATTACAGTCAGTGGCTATTTAACTGAAAAAAAACAGAACACAATGCTTTTTTCCCTCTGCATATCAAAGATCAGATATAAAGGGACACCAAGTACCTCCTTCCCTTGTATCATTCAGTGCAAGACTGGGGCTAGGATCTGATGTTACTTTTATTAAAACACAACCTGAATGACTTTTCAGAGCACGCTGCCTTCAAGCAAAATCCAGCTAAGGGAAGAAAAATTCCTTTTTGTTCGTTTACTAGGTGCCTCTGAGAACATATTTGACTTGATTCACTGTTTGCTAAGCCATGTGCATAACTCTTGAAGAGTTCACACGCAATATGAATAGCTAGGTTGACAATCAAAGTACAAAGAGGTATAGAGAGTTACCCTCAGTATATCTAGATTGCGCACAGGAACGGCAACCATTTTAATTTAAAAGCTAAACATTATATACCAGGTACTTTTGTGCTTCCACTTTTGTAGACATTTCTACACTTTTTCAAAACACATTCCCATCTCTTCAGCTTGATTTGTCTCCACCAACTAACTTACATTATTAGTATGTCAACAAGGTACCTTAATGGTTTAAGATGTACCTTACTGCAAAAAAAGAGATGTTGACCCTACTATATTAAAGCACTTGAGGGTCATACCACACACTGATCTTGGCCATATCAACGCAGTAGTAACTAGCTCAAAAAATTAAAACTCAATTTAACTAGAAAAACAAAGGGGCAGCGCGAGGATCAGGGTTGTGTTTCTTAGCCATCACTTAAAAAAAGGGGAAACTTCATGCCTAAAACCTGGAAAGCTTAAGAGGGGCCTATTCCTCATATCAAACTATTTCACACCTCTGTGTAAAACAGAGGAAATATTTTTTTAACCTGGCAGGATTTATGACCTTTCACAGTCAGCTGCAGCAAACAGAACAGACCTTAACACTCAAGAGTGATTATTTCCCATCTGAAGTATCTTATGAAATTCTATGACTTCAGAAGCATTTTTCCAGCACGGGTCCCCCTGCTGGTGCACAAGCAAATCAGACCAATGCTTTCCTTGCACCACAGCAACCCAAAACAGCACTTCTCTCCAAAACTCATCCAGATGCAGACAGCTCAGAAGTCACTATTGCTAAGACAACTTCTGTTAATAATAAAAGCTCATCCACCTGGACAAAACAGAATTTCACTGGCTTCCCACACACACACACCGTCCCTAATGTGGCCATTAAAAATTCACATACAATGTAGAAATAACTAAAAACATGTAGTGGACATTTATGAAATTATCTAACAATGACAGTTTCATCTTAAGCATTTAAGCATTATGATCAGGACAACTGTTTATAACCTAGAGTGTTCTTAAAAGAAAAAAAAAAAAAATCCAAGAAAACTTACCAGTTTAACAGCTTCCTGAGCTGCCTCTTTAGTACAAAAAGTGACAAAAGCATATCCTCTATTTAGACCAGTTAGTGGATCCATCATTAAGCGGAGATCCCATATAGGGCCAGCTTTCTCAAATAATGGAACAAGTTCATCTTCAAACAAGTCTCTTGGAATCTTGCCCACGAATATCTACAGCAGACATAGAGTCTTGTTTATAAAAAAATACTTCCAATGAATAAGAATACGTCTACATAAACATCTTCTTCTCCTTACCTCTGTACCAACAGAAGGTTGTTGTCCTGAATATACAGACTCTGGAGGAGGTCCACCATACTTCCTCTGTCCAGTAGTCACATCAAGAGTGTAGCCGGTTCTCTCCAAGAGTGCCTTCAAGTAAGAAACTTAAAATTTTAAAATCACATACAAATTGAGCTCATTTAGATGCACTTCATTCACAGACATGCTTATTATTCCTCTTAAACTGTACTGCTTTGAAACTCCCACAGGCAAACAAGCCTACTGCTAGTACTTCCAATAAGAAACTTGCCAAACAATTATTAGAATTACCAGGTAAAGAAACACTGCTAGAAAATTAGACATGTACGTGGAGTTTTCCCAATTCCTTCATTTTCATAGAAAAAAAAAAAAAGCCAAGTAATAGAATAACGAGCTTCCCTTTAATTACAAAGATCTTAGTCTGAGCCACTTCTTGTTTTGGCACGTCCAATCCTGCAAACATTTATGCACAGGAGTTCCCTTCACTTAACGAGATTACTCATTAAGTGTGAAGTTAAAGAACACATGTCTAAGTGCTTACACCCCTGGAACACTACACTGACTGCTTCAGGTATCCCACCACTGAAGTGGTAGTACTATTTCCTTTCTCCTATCCCCCTCCATGGGCACATACAGCATCCCAGCACAACTGATCCTCACTAGAATCACTGCATGCATCACAGATATACTACCAATTTAAAACGTTAGCCGAAATTCAGTATGCAAAATATATAGCGAGAAACTCCTCTGAAATTAGTTGTTCTTAAAAATTTTGTACAAAGACAAATCTATTCTATGCACAAAGAAACAGCATATTAAAAAAGCCCAATTATAATCAAGAGTTAGTAATTCTGCAACTGGAAAATTGCAAAGGTATTTTAAATGCTATAGCCATCAGCAGTAAAAGCTACGCTACTTTACATTAGTTAACTAAGTCCTCACATTATTGCCTTTTTTGTGTATCAGGTTTTTTTAATTTATAATTACGGCATCCCAGCCTCAAAGTCAGGAGAAAAAAAGATTTTCTAGTTTCGCAAGCTATATAGTTACTTCTAATACATAACGCATTCATTTTGCAGTTTACACATGGAAAGCTAAAGATGAAAGAATCTTGCTTTTTAAGACATCAACTAAGCAATGCTTAGGTGGTTTTCCTTAACCTTTGGTAAAGTTGCTCATCACGGAATTTTAAAGTAACTCATAGTATGCCTAACTGTCAGGACAGGAGTCTCTTGCTACTAGAAGACTAGGTCCAAGAAATAACATGTCCATTACTAAGACAGTTTGGGGTACGGTTTATGAGAACAGTGATTATATCATAAGAAGTGGGCTAAATCCATTACAATCTGTCTTTTCAGACACATATGGTATCTCCTCCTTATTGTGGAGTTGCTTTAAAAATGAACTTAAGGAAAAAAAAAAACCCACACCCACAAAAACAACCACCAGTAGCTGAAGTTACACATTTTGAACTCAAAGGTCTATGCTGACAAGTTTCTGAAAACTTTTACCTGTGAAAACTTTCAACTGTGAAATAGTAGAACTGTCTCAACTAGACATGAAGCAAACTGTCAAATCTTTTTCACTTTTATATACATTCAGTTCCAGTAATTAACAGTATATTGTTTCCTCTTCAATAGGACGAAGTGTAAGATAGAAATGCAAGTGACAGCTTTCAAATAATGACAAATAATCTAAAATAGCCTTTTTAAGAAAAGCACAGTTCCAGAAGAATCAAGGTACCTGTCGCAACAGCTTTGAAAAACCACAGACACACCACGTAACTTTTATCTTTTAGGCACATACCTTAATTTTTGCCTCATCTGGTCCTTTGCTAGAATCTGCCACCTTGGTCCCCTGTTTTTCCCTCTGCCTGTATGTCTTCATGACTCCACATAAAAAGGCACTTTTGTTCTGCAAAAGATATATTAATCTTCAGTTCTGAAAAAATTACAAGCCAGAATCTAATTTTACTTTGAAGTAATACAGTGCCCATTTTACGTATCACATATGGACCACTGAAAAGACTTAAGCAAACCTCTTGCCAGTCAACTAGCAGTTTATCCCTCAACAATTATATTCTAAATCACTTAACATTACCTGAACATGTGAGAGATCACTGTCTTTAAACTGCTGAAGCACTGCCAATGCACCTTCTTCATTAAATTCCTTTAAAGCTTCAATAGCTCTTTCATCTAGATCACTATGTGCAACTAGCCCTAGAAAAAAGAAAAAAATTACTAATTATATTTGGGCAGCAATCCTTGTTTAACCACATTTAACACATGTAACACATTTCAGTGACCCCTAAATCAATAACTGATTAACATAAGTTACTATACCTAAGAAGTCACTTAGTCTTCTTAAAGGTAAATATTTACGTGTATTTAACCTTCTGTTAATCAAAAAGTGTCAAAAAAAGTTAAGATTCAGAGTAACGGTTACTGCATTTGTGTTATTATTTGACTTCTGTGGAAACCAGATGTTACACAGGCCAAGTTTATTTTCGATATCCTGAAACTGAATTCAGAAGGGTCTATCAAAACCTGACTTAGCTTCCCTAGCAATGGTACCTTGGTACATTTTGAGAAAGACTATAAAGCCAAATAAACTGCAGCACTAAAAGTGACCACCACAATCCAAAAATCAAGCTTAAAAATGCTATTACCATGTCTGAGAGAACCAATACAATAACCTTTGCATCCACAAGCCCAAATACTATGTCACGAAGCATCATTTACGTGAGAAGATGAATACCAAGGCTTCAGTTACTTACAGTTACCTACAACTACTGTAAAAAAAATGCACAAAGACCACATCACCTACTGCTGCTAAAAATCATCTGTTGCCTATTCCAGCTGTTGCTATGGTCACCTGCGTACTTCTTCTCCTCCCCACCCCTCAGCCCAAGTAGCCTGGGCCAAGACTTTTCTCTGAAAAATACTACAACAAATTAAAGCACTGATTGGAAAACATCCACAGATTTTGGTAAGACTGCAGTTCCCATACTTTTGGAAACCACAAAAAGTTGCTATTTTAGCCCAAAGACAGCAGAATCCAATAAAATATTGTAAGCGTGGTTTTGCAAGTTTTACGTCTTACCTGCAACGTAAATTTCATCTAGTTTTTCAGCAACTTTCTGTGGTAAACCAGCATCAAGCAATGTCTGGAAATGCTCAGAATGGGTAACTGCAGCAGAAGTATCCATGGGCTCTTCAGTACCATTCCCATTAACATGTTCAGTAGCCATGTTTCCAGATATCTGTTCAAATGCAATAAGCATCATAATTAAGCTAAAATTATCTTCAAGCAGAACAATTCAAGCGGTAATACATGCAACCAGACTGCCCTGTTCTCGCAAAATAAATAAATAAATAAATAAAATCGTAGACCACTTCCCTGATACTTTCTAATTTTGGAAGACGCACAAAATTCCTCAAAAGAAGCCCTAACACAAAGGAAAGCCCTAGCACCACTGCCTAGCGGGGGTGGGGTAGCTTTCACTGCAGGTTTTACACAACCCAGCCAGACACTCTGACTCACCTCCCTCTCTCCGTCTCTTTA